CGTTCGAAGTACCTGTTGGCTTCAGCTTCAAGTGCACGGACCCACCACTCATCATCACCGAGGTTACGGTCCCGGCCACTTGCACAGGGCGGTGGTAGTACGTGCCATCTGGCACCACTAGCCCCGAACCTCCCTCCAGGCGACGGGGGTCCAGCCGGTGAAGAGTCGCAGAAAAGCCGCTGTCCCATCTCTTCGCCGCCTCTGCTTCCAGGTCGATCCCTTGCTCCTCTTGAACTCCTGGCTTCTTTGCTTTTCTTGCGCCGGCGGCTGCGGGGCGCTTCTTCCCAGGAGGTCCTCCTCTTCGACCTCCCGCTCCAGGAGCCCCGCCTCCCAGGGCTCCCGCTCCTCGAGCCTTCATCGCCCTCGCCCCCCTGAGGCGGGGCGCTGCCTTGCTCTTTGCCTTTGGGGCCATGGCTCCGAATTGTGAACTCGGCGCCAGAAATCCCGTCCTCTCTGCCGGTGGGCCGCGCCCTTCGACTTGCGTTTCTTAGACCTCGATCTCTCTCTCCTCTGATCTCGATGCCTTCCTCCAGCTCCCGTTCTCTCAGGAGGGGGACCTGATGGTTCTGCTGGTCGACGCCTCCTGACGTCGTCGTTCTCACGCAATTGGCGGGCCGCCGATCCCCGTACGGAAATCGAACCCAGGCCAAAGCGATCTGGATGATCAGATACGAACTTGTCCAAGTCTTCTTGCGAGACCTTCTTGTGTCCTTCTGCCCTGATTTCCCTCTCTTCTAAGGGTTCAGCCTTCGCTGCCCTGATAACGTCTCCTCTAGCCTCCCTGCTCCCTGCTGCCTCTTCTTTGACCTCAGGAGTCTCCTCTACTCCCGGTTCGTTAAGACCCCTCTCCCGGGTCTTCTTCTCCTCACGCTTCGCTCTTCTGGCCTCCTTCTTCTTCTTCTTTTCTTCCGCCTTGTGGTCAGCTGCAGGTGCAGAGGCCTCCGCTGCAGCAGCTGAAGGGGTGGCAACCACTCCAGGGGCCGGCGCTGCCCCCGCAGAGCCAGCAGCTCCGGTTTCCAACCCAGGAGGTGGCACAAATCTCCCGTATTCCTCGTAGATGTCCGAAACACCCCCAGCCGCTTGCCTCAGCACGCCAAGCACCTTGGCCTCGTGTTCCTGGGGTAAAATGCCCTGAGTGATCAGGAACTTCAGGCGCAACAAAGTGCGGCAGCAGGGGCAAGGATCACCGTGGAAGTTGTTACACGTTCTACAGGACATATAGAGCTAAAGCCACACACTACGGAGCATGTTCAATGATCCCATCTTTACTACCGGGCCGGAGATACATATATATATATATTATTTGGAATTATGATGATACTATGTGGATATGTTATGATGATATATGAATGATATATGTGGATATTGTTTCTCTTGAGCTGACAGATGTCGAAAACCACAGTGAACCCTGCCAAAAAAAGCACGCGATCTATCTAATCTATCTAAAATCAGGCTTAAAATGTCCAAATCGATTCAAATCAGGGTATCATCAGTCCCAAAATCTCAGACCTCCCCGGCCCACAGCACCATTTTTTGTTCTTCGTGTCAGTTCGGCTTGGCCCAGGTCTTTGGTACTACGAGGCCACGGGCAGGTGTCGCCTTGGCCTTGGATGCTGCCTTGGAAGCTGCCTTTGCCTTGGCTTTGGAGCCAGCCTTTGCCTTGGAAAAATGATGGAAAAATGATGGAAAAATGATGGAAAAATGATGGAAAAATGATGGAAAAATGATGGAAAAATGATGGAAAAATGGAAGACTGAACAGAGGTTGATCGTTTTGAAGATGGCCAGTCAATTCTTGGAGAGAAAGACAACGCGTTTTTCGCGAAAGGGAGAAAGACAAGCCAAGAACAAAACATAAGAAAAACATGGGTATGTCTGAAAATGGGGTATACCCCCAATTATAGCCATTTAGTAGGGATAATGATCATTAACCATTGGGTGTAGGGAATACCACATAGAAAAACTGTGTCTCACAAATACCATCGAACAACCCATCGTATGGACCTCAGTTGATCCAATCTCAACAAGCCCCCGCCTGGCAAAGCTGGGAACTCCTCCACTGGCTGCGGTCTACTGGCTTTGGCCCAAGCACCACTGGGACCTTCGCGGTGCCAATAACTGGCTATTCTATGCTATTCTCATATTTTCCTGTTAGGTTGTTCCCAGAGCAGAAAATTCCGTCCAAACTGCAACCGACCTAGCCAGGCAGTATAATCAAATGGAAATCAATGGCTGTGGATGACAAGGCCGGTCATGCCTCGAACCATGGAAGGAGAAGGCACAGGTCCTCCAAAGAAATCCCTGGGTCCCTGGACCGTGACATGTCACTGGTTGCTGGTGAGAAGTGTCCTCTTTTTGTCGCTGCCCCCGTGAGAAAACCAAGAAAGACATCAAAGAACGGTGCTTTGGTGAATCAGCAAATACGAATACATTATTTTGTAATATTTATATACAGTGTATATATATATATTATATGTATACTGTATACACACAAATATGATGTCACATATGTAGACAGACAGACATGGATGGATGGATGGATGGATGGATGGATGGATGGACGGATGGACGGATGGATGGATGGACGGATGGACGGATGGACGGATGGACGGATAGACGGATAGACAGGTAGACGGATAGACAGGTAGACAGATAGACGGATAGACGGACAGACGAATAGACAGGCAGGCAGACAGGCAGGCAGACAGGGAGGTTGATTGATTGATTGATTGATTGTTTGATTGATTGTTTGATTGATTGATTGATTGATTGGATAGATAATTAATAGATCGATAGATCGATAAACAAATATATAGGCAGGTAGGTATGCCTGTATGTCTGTATTTCTGTATGTAACATATATTGTATTATATTGTCATAGCTGCATGATTCCGCATGATATGATATACCCTCTGGTAATTTAACATAACTATGGAAAATCACCATTTTATAGCTGGGAAAATCCACTATTTCTATGGCCATGTTCAATAGCTATTTTGACATAACCAGAGAGTAAATTGATATAAATTATCTGCCCCAGGGGTCTCCATGGTCTCCTGTGTCAACCGGGACCTCATCTCTCTCTGCCAAGGCTTGCGCCGTTGATGCCACCGCGTGTTGCGCTGCAGTCACTCGGATGTCGTCATCATCGATGACCTGAGGGGAGATCGCCATGGATCATCCCAGGAAAAACGCAACTGGACGCAACCGATAAACGACCCTAAACCCTGAGAGAATCCATTGGGGTTCAGTTTTCTGATTACTCTATTTCATGTTAAGCCTGTTAAGCATTCTATGTATATATTAAATTATATATGGATTGTAAGATGTTGTAACTATGGTTGCCAACCAGTTGCGTGGGATGATCCTCCAAGTAGTCCACAGTGCACGACTTCTAGCAAAGATATTATAGTTCAGTATCAAGATGGTTGCTACATATCGAGCAATCAACCAGACTCAAGGGGTTTTGCCGATGTTCGGAAACTGGTTGCCTTTTAATTTTTAGCTCTCAAATCTAGCAGTCCAGAGTTATGATATGTGATCATCACATCATCCCACCCGCAACCTTAGCCAAGCAAAAACGAAAATTCACCAAAAATCACCTAGCTGCGGTCAATCCCCCATCGTTGAAATTGATGGCCCGCCCGCGGCTGTCCATATTCTGCGAGTGAGTGAAGCGGAAGAGGTGCTGGAACACCGCCGTGGCTTCGCGACGGACTGCGTCGCTGCCAGTTCCTCCATTGCGCTGGAATAAATCAAAGGCATCCGTCACGGAGGCCGACTGACTCGGATAGAAGTCCCGCAAATGGGCATCCAATGCCGAACAGTCTTCACGACTCAAAGGAGTGCGGTTCACTGGGTTGATGAAGTCAAAAGAACTCAGCAAGAAACTGGCCAAAAACTGACCATCGAAGTAATGTGGTACCGAGCTTCCTTCAGCTTTCAAGCCAAAGGGTGGGACTGGCAGCTCCGCAATGGGCACCAAGGAGATTGGACAATCACCATCAATTTTGGTCCACCAGCCGGGTGTTCGACGTTCCTTGCCTTTCCCTTTGCCTCCTTTGCCTTTTCTCCCTTCGCTCCCTTTGCCTCCTTTGCTCTTGCCGCCTTTAAGATCCGCATTCTCTCTATCGCCAGCATCGCCGGTGTCACCGCCCTTTCCTTTGGTCCCTTTGGCCCCTTTGGCTTTGCTCGGAACATCTGGGGCGGATGTTGCTGTCTGAGGTTCATTGTCATTAGAAGCTTCGACGTTTTCAACTTCAGGACTCTCAGGACTCTCCTCAGTTTTCTTGGCTCCGATATTCGCAAGGACCTCACGAGCCCTTCGTTCCATCTCCTCCTCCCGCCGCTGCTTTTGCAACTCACCTTTACTGGGTCCCTTGCCCCAAGCTTTGCCTTTGCCTTTCATGCCCGGTTTGCCACTCAGATTCAAGTGTCGCATGCCGTAGAAGCCAGCCTCAATTCTCAATGTCCAGTGCTTTGACGCGTCCCACGGCATTTAAAACATGTAGTTGAATCCGCTAAAACATTGAACAGGATGGGTCTAAGTGTGCGTGAGCACGCAATTCCAAATAGATTTTAATGGCTTCATATCCAAACTCACCAGCTGCGGGTTCTTAGACTTGAGATTCTGAACAATCATTAAACCTAATAAGCAAAAATTAGGCACCTTGGCATCCTCCTCCTCCATCTTCCTTTGCAGCTCTCTTTGGCGTTTCTCCTCCTCCAAACGCTGCTGCTTCTCTCGTTCTTGTGCTTCGATGATCTTTTGTTCTCTGGCCTTTTGCTGCTCCTGGCATGAGGCGATGGAGAACTTCAAACCCATCGCGGAACTACTGAGTAGCTACTGTTTGTTCTCAGGTTGGGAAAATCGGGGAAATTCGGGGAATCCTGGCGTTTTCATCTTGAGACATTTGGGAAAATCTCCTGGCGTTCTTTCTCCTTCTGCTCCCTCTCTGCACGAAGTTTGTCCTCTCGTTTCGTCTCGTGCTGTCGCTTTTGTTCCTCCTTTTGTTCCAGCTTCCGACGATTCGCCTAAAATCTTCACAGGCTCCATGGCTTGGTGATGCAGGAAATGCTTGGAACGACATGAACAACCAACGCCAACATTGAGGTGACTTGTTTTGATTCATCAGACAGTCACATCATTCGAAGCGTTGGTTCAACGCACCTCGATTTCTTCTTGGATTTCCCATTTCCGTCGATCTGCTTCCTCCAGGGGGGTCTGGGTCTCCTCCTTCCAGGATCTGTCGTGCCAACCACTCCACCAACCGTTCCACCAATCATCTTTCTTCCATTCGTTCCATTCGTTCCAGTCGTTTTGTCTCCAGTCCGACTCCTCCTGACAAATCAGGTTTCAGGCACATCTGACGAAGTCAGGTGTGATGTCATGGGTAATGTGGGCGTTTCCCGAAATTGTGGTAGCCCACAATCATGGCTTTCCCATGGTAAAATGAACGGTGTTGGTCAATTCCCATCTTTAAAAAAAAAACGCACATCTCAAATCAGGCCTTGGTAAATCAAGCACCGTGGCACAGTGTACATGTATCATATAATACATCTTTTACATATTGTGTATAATATATATATATATATTATGCATATATATATATACACATATATATATATATCATGATATTATGTCATTGTATGCTATAATAAAAAGTCAATAATCTGAATGACGATTGTAACCTTTCCCCTCCGTTCCTCCTCTTCCTGTTCCTCCAGCGCCCTCTGTTGCTCCAACGCACGTTGACGACACACCTGCCATGGCCGAACCCGTGGATGTGCCGTCGCCCATCCGGGGCCCCAAAAGGCGCCTTAAATCGATCAGCACACGCCCGGACGTCGCGTGTTCCGACGTGCCCGGCGATGGCTTTCCACTTTTCCTTGATGTCACAAATCATCGCGAATTTCATCAGTCCTGCGAACACGTGTAGAAAAATCATGAAAAATCTAGAAACCCGATGTGAAGGCAAAATCCACCTATTTGGGAGTGAAGTGACTATGCCCAAATATCCATATTGAATCATGAAGCATCATGAAGCCACATGGTCTCGACCAGTCCACAAGTCCTTCCTCTAGCAGCTGCTGTTCTTCCTCTGTCCATGCATTGCTGGAGGAGGCCATAGCAAAAATGATCCGCAAAGAGCACACTAGACGTATCTCGATGTGGTTGTACAATACAAGACAATACATTAATACATTCTACAAGCAACTTGAAATCAGGATCTGATTGCCATGGTGCTGTCCGATTTACGGGTCAAGCTAGTGACTAGAGGAGGGAAAAGGTGAGGCTTTTGCAAACTGCTCGTCTGCTGGTGCAAGAGTCACAATTTCAGTAGGCTATTCCTGCAGAATGCTAAAGTGCGCCTTTGAACAAACAGCTCGGAGAAATTGCATTCTTCATCATAAGGATTTCGATCAATCACAACTTGCCAGCCTGATTCTAATTTAGTCCCTTAAAAAAAGAAGGAAACTTACAAAGATCAAACCAAACATACCAATAATTTCCTCTGCCTTGGCCATGTTGGGAACATTTGGGAGCTTGCGATTCCCATTTAGGCCATACAGTAAGCCACCCAATCTGACTGTGAGGCAGAAACTTCCGCCTCCAGTTGTTGATCCTTCAGCTTCCGCCTCGAAAGTTCTCCAATTCTCTTGATCTATTGATGGTTTAAGTGGGGATCTATCATGATTTATCAGGATTTATCATTATTTATCATTGATCTATCCTCTTGAATTCAACATCATTCTCTGATGTCTTGAACATCTTAAACTGGTTTATCCATATTCTTATCCTTATTATTCTTGTGGTTATTTTCGGTGCTAGTTGGAACGGGTGAAGGATAGTGCATCATTGCCTCAGGATCCAGCAGACATATTGTCCCCGGTTCGAATGTGAGGTGACTCTTTTGGGAAACCCTCAAGACCAAAGACTCATACGCCTCGAATTCACAATTTCATAAAGATTCATAAAGTATCCAGCTATTTCTGCTATTCCCTGGAAGTTCCATGAACTTTGGAGGTGACAATTGATATTCCAACCTGCAACTCTTAGCTCACCGAGGATTCAATAAGATTGTGCCATGGCCTCGGCCGAAAGCTGCACTTGTCTCCTGCAGCGAGAGATGGCAGCGATGTCAGCAAGTTCTAGTTGTTGGGATTCCTTGCCAATCCTTGCCATGTCAGCAAGTATTATAAAGATACAGGAATATCACTGTATCATGATTGTATCATAAGTGTATCATATGTGAAATCATAAATGCATCATACATACTGTATCATATTGTATCACCATACATCTCTGACTTCTCTCAGTTGTAAACATGACCAGTGCGACTTAACCATCCTGACGCATCCAAAAATATCCCAAAATCACCCAAACAAAACTAAAGATATATCTATATCCCTAAATATCAACATACCCACAAAGTGACCAAACAATATCAAACAAAATTTCCAATACCCAAAGACACCAAAAACCCTGAAAGAAATACACCAAAGGTGCACCCTCAGGGTGTTTGTCACAGGTCATCGGCCTTCTCAAGTTGCCAGCTGCACGTGAGACTTCGTTGCCAAAGCCTCTGGTGGTCGTGAAGCCTTCCGGGCAACGTCGGATGTGGCTTTCTCTGGATCCCCTGTTTTTTGTTTCCGGCTTTCGGGGGTGGAACCACCTTAAATCAGGGAAACCAATAAATTATTCTAACCACGGAAGTGGATATTCTCCATATTTAATGTGAAAAGCATATTTGTGAAAAGTCATTTATCTTACATTTCCATGGCTGTTTTAGAGAGTTGAACAAACAGATCGACTAGAGTGTTGATGAATCTCGGCAAGCCACCAACAAAACCGGCCTCGGAGGTAGTACTTAGTACTTATGAAATTTGCTCACGTCATGTCGTATTATATACTCCACATCAAGGGCCCATTAATCTCGTCAATTTTGTCAGTGAATTTGCCTTAAATTTCGGATGCTTCCATCCAACGGGCAGGTGTGCCTTCGGGCCAACATCTGAGAAGTAGCAAGGCAGGGCATAGTGCCTCCAAAAACAGGAGGCACGACGCATGGACAATAGACTACACACCATGTGCATTGCAAGTCAATCACCTTCCGATCCATATGCATTTTATTCCTAAGAAAGGTGGTTCAAGGTGGTCAATGAGTGTCAATGACATTCACATTCGGCATTTTATGCTTCTGCCTTGGCAAATCGCTTAACTTCAATGATGTAGCCAACTCTTGGTGTCCAAACCAGCATTAAGTCCTGCCTTGCAAGTCCCACTTGTTTATGCTGATCCATCTTGGTTTTGATTGGGTTGGGTACAGGGAACAAAATATACAAAATACAGGGAATCCCGGTGTTTATGGTGTTTACCATTGATAACTTGGGTTTACTATGGTTTACTGCAGCCCCTTCATCACCCTTCATCCAAAGAATGCCCCACGCCAGGCCGTCAGCACTTGCTTCATCGTCACGCGACCTTTGCGACTTTGCTATGGACACCATAACGCAAGTGGAGGATGTGGAAGTCATAGTTGGTGTTTGACAGGCAACAATTTCACAAGGGGAACAACTTCGAAATGTATTTTCATTGCATATCTGGGAACAAAACGCAATCAACATCTTGTGACCAGTCACGCTGGTCACATCAAGGAAATGTCAGTGATGTTATCCCCAGTCAGTTATATCACTGGATTGGTTTAAGGGAAAATCTACAGGAAACCATGGTTTTTACCATCAAATATAGGGCTTTCCTGTAAATTTTCCCATCATCCAATTCTATGATTATAGCATCAGTTTCAACATCATGAAAATTGATCGTCTTCCGAGGCGATAGCTCTACCGACTACCGTTCCTGGCGCCGTTCTCGCCGCACGTTCGATGCAGTTCGAAGGACTGAGAAGTCGTTGGGGATTTGCTAATCTTCCCCCATGGCCCATGGTATAATATATATATATGTGTATACCATTATATAGATATAAGTTATCATGTGTATCTGTATGTGTATTAATATATATATATACATATTGAGAAACAGAGAAAAAGATACACGTCCCAGTAGATTCCCATTTCTGGTGGATTAAGCAATGCAAAAAAATAATAGAATCCCTCACTCAGCAAATCCAAGAAGTTCGCACTGTCCTGAACCACTGCGAAAAAGATGTCGGTCAAACTCTGTCTATACTTTTTTGTGAATGTTTGGGGACGAGTCGATTTGATTCCTGGAGGCGTGGCATGTCCTATCTTTTACTGCTGACCTTTTCTCAGATGTGAGCTCAACTAGAACTCCAGCTTCAATCATCTCAAGCGTCTTGAGCCACACGCAGTGAAGCTTCCACTGTTTCCATGAGGCAGGAGGTCCTTGTCTGTCCGAAGAAAGATTGCAACAATTATCCACCGTACTAAAGACAGTTTCTGTCAGCTCACGGCTTTTCGCCCAAATGTTGCCCGCCGGTACAGCTGGACAAGGGCTACTTGTGCACAAAGCCCACAGATGGGTTCTGCACACAGCATGAAGGGGCAGAAATGCTGACCCAGAAACCATCCCGAGCTTTGCGGAAAATATGGGGATGGCGGATGCGAGTTGCCTTGAGCTTGTGCAGATTCAATTTGCCCAACAAAACACCTGAAGCTTCTAGCAACTAGTAACTCCTATCAGGGGATGACCAGTGTAGCAAAATGTTCATTCAGATTGATCAACTCATAAATGAAACGATATCGAAATTAAATGATGACTTATCATATGTATTATATATATATTATATATATATAATACATATATAATATATAATACATATAGTTATATAAGTTATATTTATAATGTATATATTGTATAATTAATATCTTCTTCAGACATATTCTATGTATTTCTGCTGGGGCTGCACAACTGGCAGCCATTAAAATGGCACTGGGATCGCTCTCAGTCGACCTCCTCGAGCTCTGCCAAGTCCACAGGCACCTTGTCCTGGGGGTTTCCCCACCAGCTGCCATAAACCTACCAGTACCATCTGGGCTACCACCCATTGGTGATTCGGGATGGGTTTCTTATTGGATCTGATTGGGTTTACCACATTATACCACATTAGAAGGAAAGTGTTGTGTCCAAACCGGCCGACTGTATCCACCGTTGTCTTGCGGCAATAATTGGGCAGTGAGTGACGGCTCGATAAACGTATTGAAAACTTCACGACAGCTCCAAGGACTAGCAAGATCAGGTCAGCATAATCGTCTCGCACATGCCAACTTGCCTGTTACCCTCAGGTGATTTTGGTGTGAAAGTAGATGATTTACCTGGTAACAATGGTGGTTTTCCGTAGCTAGGTAATTAAATGATTGCCAGAGGGTATATCAAAATTAATCACCAGTGATCACGATTCATCACCATTATTAGTAATTAACAGCTATTAACAGCTATTAACCATTATTATATAACCATTGCCATTACTATTGTTGTGATTTCCCTCCATGTCCGCTACGTCGCCGCTACGTCCTCAATGGCCAATTTCTCTGCCAACTTCTTCTGCTCCTTCTCCTTCTTCTTGCGGGCACGCGCCTGCAAGGGTTCAAAACTGGCGCTGGGTGGGGAATATGCAGGATAAATCCCCGCAACTGCTACCATGCCATCAATTCGATGGAAAGAACATTCAGCACGTTGCCAAGACCGCTTACAAAGCCTCTACGAATCTCTACGTCCAACGAGGGAGAGTTCAAACAAAAGAAATAAATCATTGTTGCTCCTCATTTGGTGGTTCCCTAAAATGGTGGTACCCCAAAATGGATGGTTTCTAGTGGAAAATCCTACTAAAATTGATGATTTGGGGGTACCCCTATGACTTAGGAAACCACCATTTGGGAGTTTTGGGAGCCAAATCCATTGGGGTCAGCTGTTCAACCATTTCAACTTTTTTCTCCGCCTCGTCAATCTCGCGCTGCCGCCGAATTGAAGGTGCCTCAGAGCCATCAACGCTGTGGAACCCCAAATGCACGCGGTGGATGACCCGTTTTCCTCCCTTGTGGCTATCATTTACCTATAAACCCTACAATGGCTTGGAGTCCTTGGAGCAATCCTGTTCTCTCTGTCAAATTCATGCACTTAAACTCGTTGCTCTTGTGCACACTGATTG